ATTTTAATACCTGGGATTGGAGAGGAGCAGAAATTATGATGGCTAAAATACCATTTGACTTCCAGGTGTGAAAGGACATAGCTTGTTGCCACCACTCAGTAAAGTAGAAATGAGGAATTAGTAAAGAATCAGTTTATGATTCATTAGACCAGGGTCAGCAGAGAGCGGAAACAGCTGTGGGAATTCCTTCCTGCACAGCAAAAGTAGGAGGCTTCTGCCTTCTATATTAGATAGGTTGCCATGTGAGACTGCAAACAGTAGATAATGTCATTTTTAATACTGCTTCCTCCTGCCATAGCAGAAAATTCTATCCCACACATATGCTTTATTGAAGCTTTCTATTTTAAGATTTGCTTTACCTGTAAAAAGCTCATTGTATTACTGAAAATCTTGATGCTTTTTTATGTCTACCTAGAGAACATATCAAGAATTAAAATCATGACATCAAAAGTTAGGAAATACAGGAGTTAAAACCACCCTGTAGTAGCCCAGCCACTATGTGCAATACATACTTCCAGCTCTTGGTCCCCTGCATCTTTCAGAGCACAAGAAGATTAGTTAATGAAAAGCTGGACAATTTTATTTCCTCCATTCTTTTCAACATTTGATATTTCAGGCCTTCCTCAGAACAATTCTCTTCCTCCTCAGATTCCTATGCCAATCATTAGTGTAGCACTTGCATGCTACACAAATATTAATGTACAGTATCTACACAGCCTCATATGACACAAGGGGTATTGTCCCTATTTCACCAGCAAGTAAGAGAGCAGTAGTGCACTGTTATACACATTATTTTAGATTTTTTATTTTACTTTAGCCTGAAGATTCAGACTCCTCTACATCTCAAAGCATCCTATTGGCTCAGTGTGCAGCTCCAGTTCTGCAGTAATGAATTTGCGGTCCTTTGCAAGACCACAAGCATCTCAGTTTAGAGGCAGAAAACAGGAAGCTCAGTACAAATTCTCAAACTGTTAAGTCTAAAATGACTGTCACCTGGCCATGAGCCAGGTTTGCAGCATAGTCAGAAGTGGATCCCAAGTCTATGAGGAAGCACAGTATCTTTTCTTTAGATAACAGCCCTATATTACACACTCCTGGACTTACTCCATCCTAATTACCTAAAAGAGAAATCCAGAATATGATTAAGTAAACAAAGACCATCACTAGTTGCATAAGAACATGGATCTCAGTTGGGTTGCAGAGGCCCTTTTAATTTATATTTCTCACATTCTGAGCTCTGCAACTTCATGAATATCTCAAATATAGGTATTTTCATACTTTTCAGCTTTAAAACAAAAAAAAAAAAAAAAGAAAGATGGGGAAGGATTTTGTACAAGGGCAGGTAGTGACAGGACAAGGGGGAATGGCTTCAAACTGAAAGAGCATAGGTTTATGCTAGATATTAGGAAGAAAATCTTTACTGTCAGGGTGGTAAGGCACTGTAACAGGCTGCCCAGAGAAGCTGTGGATACCCCATGACTGGAAGTGTTCAAGGCCAGGCTGGATAGGGCTTTGAGCAACCTGGTCTAGTGGGAGGTGTCCCTGCCCAGGGCAGGAGCATTGGAATAGATGATCTTTAAGGTCCCCTCCAATCCAAATCATTCTAAGATTCTATGACCAAATAGAGCTTAGAAATGGTGAACGATAATATTTATTACTGAATATCTTGGATATCTTCTGTAGGAGAAGAATGACAACACTCAAGAAACACCTCTTAACTCTCCACATATTGTGAGGCATTCCTTTTTTTTTTTTTGCTTCAAGGGCTTAGTTTCCAGTCAACTGCTTGTTGGCAGAGCATGTCAGTCACCCGCCATGGTAATTCAGATCTTCACCTGATCTTCACCCAGTTCATCCCACACCTCCCTCCATACCTCTTCTTATAAAGCCTAAGCACATACTTGACTCAATACAGTTTTCATCACACCTCCTCTAATGGCCAAAGCCCAAGTTTTCCATATGTCTGCTGTCCCTTTCCTACATTGGCCTTCCCACCTTCTCTATAGTGTTATTAAATATTTTCTAATGCAGACAGCAGGAGGGTAACATTGAAATTATAGACAAGGTAATGTCCTATCTCTAAGTGCCAATGCAACACTGGAGAATCATCATTTTTCAGAAAAAAAAGCTACAATAATGAAGGACCGTTTAGCTTCTAGTGTTAATGGTGAATAATCTGAGTTGTATAGACATTCCAATATGTATAAAGCTATAATTAGAATTTTGTAACTGACAGGAAATGGTCGTAGCTGATAAGGACGATGCTAAACACTGAAGTTGTGCACAAGAGATAGTCCATAACATGCTAGACTTTGTACAGGCCTTGTTTCGAGTGCCACGTGCCCTGTCAGGGCATAAGGGATGTACAAAGGGATACAGAACACATCTATGAAAATAAAACCAGCACACATGTCAGTCAGCACTGTAGGCAGTGCTTGTCAAAGCATAGAAACATTTCTGTGGTATCTGATAAAAGTACAATTGATACTGACTGGAATTGCCACATGGAAGGCTTTGTGCTATCATGCAACCAATGAAAACTTTACTACAAACTCGGCAGTAGTAACATCCTTACAATTAATACCTCTCTGAAAGGTGCATTGTGTTTATTGTGTATCCTTATTACTTCTGTTAATATCACCTGCTAAAGGAAGGAGCAGCTGACTTTTTTACCTGCTGAAGTCAACACTATTCTGCATTAACTGCTGAAATTAAAATAGACAAAAACATCTTTTCCCCCAATGTAATTCACTAACTGCTTTCCACAGTAAATTATCCAATTGCCATGCTTCTATCCTCTTAGAAGCATGATATGGTGTCCAAAAGTGTTCCAGAAGTAACTTCTTATAGAAATACAAATTTCGGACTCATTTTTAAAACGATATGATCAGAAGGCTAACGAAAATTGCACAGTTAATTAAACACACCCAGCCTAACATTTCTTTTCATCATAATTCTTGATAATAACCACTTCTCAGTGGTGAGCTGAATTAGAGAGATTACCTATGAATTAGTGAGATTACCTATGGGAACCACCAAGCCATGGGAACATACATGAGTGACCCACCCACACCCACGGCTATCTAAATTTAGGCTAATACAAATGTTGTGAAAGTGACAATATTACCTTATTTTAATGAATTTCAAGGTGATCACCCTACACAGAGTCACAATGCAGCCTTGGGAGGCTGAAGAGCCAGTGGTGGAGTTTGCTAGGATGCAGAAATGCAGCAAACAGCATGAGCGCTGCAATGAAATTGAATCACTGCATCTACAGAGCAACTAACGCTTGCTCCTTCAAGCAAAATATTATATATTTTAACATTCATGGGGGGAGAAAAGGTATGATTTCAACTTTAGATTTATTACCTAATAGGGTGTACTCCTGTACCGGCTATTGAAGAGTATCTTGAGAGTTTGTATTTCAATAGAAATGTTTATAAAAATAACAGAATTCCTATTATTCTCCCTCTACTAAGGATCAAGGGATTTCTATTCAAATCCAGCTGTAGGTCCAGAAGCATAGAGGTAAAGCAAAAGTTGCTGAATGTCAAAATCAGATGGATTAGGTATTTTAAAAGAATAAGCAAATGACTGCAAGCTTTTAGCAATTAGTATCATGCAGAAAGTAAGAATAATTTAGATATACATAAAATCTAAATTATGTAGCTACAGAAATACAAACAAGTTTGACTATAATGTAGCAAAGATTTTAACCAAATTTAAAGATTAAACATTCTGGGGCACATAATACCAGAAACAAAAACTTATGGAAATTACGTAATGTCAAGTAAGCTCTACTTCCTTCTTTGACAGAGTACATTATTTACTTCATACTTCCCAGCTAGATGCTGGTATTTGTTCACTGTGGTGCTAGATTGTGAGCCAGATGACAGAACACCACTTTATCCACTGAGAGTGGGGGTTTTTTCTGCTCACTGAGGTATTTTTTTTCCTGTATAATGCAACTGGACAGCAGGCAACAAGAGCTCTGTGGCACAACAAGGCAGATGTAAGCTGGAAGAAAACATCAAGCATATGGGGGAAGAGATCAAAACATTATATAACAAGATCCGGACATCACAAGGACAGGACTATTAGAAGCTGTGCCCCTAACAGAACTTCTGACACTGGCAATAAATTTTAAGTAGAGTTTCTTCTTTTCTTTCAGCATTCTTTTTAAATGTGTGGCTAAAAAATAGTAGAATAAAAACAGTATAAAAATATTTTTTGTGATATGACAAATCAGAATATGGATTTCATGAAATAGCCACAACTGTTCAAAACCGTCCTTCTGCATACCCAATAATCTAATAAGACTTTTATCAGAGACACTCAACACTTCACATAATATTATAATACATCAATCTTCAACTTCACATCACATTTGTGTCTTAATTGTACCTTTTCTCAGTACAGGTTCAAAATCAAATGTGTCCCTATTTATAAATATATACATGTAAAATCAAACTTCTTAGAAACTGTTTGTTATTTTTATTTACCTATACAAACACATACTCCTAAGGTATTGCTCTAGATAGGGCATGTACAGCAAAATGTTTAAAAATACTATTCATCACTATTTAATCACAAACTTCAGGCGATTATCTGTATTGTGTGACACCCGAATGAAACAGAAGATATCGATCATGTATGCAAGACCTGCCAGGCAATACATGCTGTAATTGGACTATCTAAACTTCCAGCAAAACTCTTTGCAAACAACTCCCATTATTTGCTATTCCATAAAAGTCACACACAGTAGTACTTTGTCCTGAAGCAATAACATTAAACATTACCTGTTCACCTGACAAAGCAGGTTTTTTTCTGAAAAATCATAGGCTAAAACACACCATGCAACTTCCATCATTCCTTTCCCTTCCCCTAAAAACATCTGGGAAATAGTTCTCTCAGAAGAAAACACACAGAAAATAAAACCCATTACTTCTCCTAAGATTCCCAGGACACCAGCAGCACAGGCCTCCACAACTGTGACTTACCCACTGCTAAGTCAGAAACAGCAAGATTGAGAAAGAAATAGTTACTCCGATGCCTGAGGCTTCTGTCCACGATGAAAGCAAGGATCACCAGCACATTTCCAAGGATGGTGACCAGACATAGCAGCACCATGAGGACAGCCAGCAGCACCAACACGCCCAGTGAGAACTCAGAGCTCGGTGGCTGGGTGGGCCAAGTCTCATTACACGCTGCAGCCACTTGCAGAGCTCCGGCAGTGCTGTTGTGCATGTTGTGTATCCCGGCCAGTTCAGTCTGGGAAGAAAGTTGTATCTGGCAGAGTTATCCAAAAGGTTGAGATTCACAAGGAGTTGAAACAAGATGCGTCAAAAATCCAATAAACATTAAAAGCAAAATTGTGTCAGGAGAGGAAAAAAGTAAAGGCTTTTGATGCCAGATAAATCTAACTTTCTTAGCATTTTTAAAATATATTTATAGTATATATTCTAGAATATTAATCTAGAATATAATTCTAGAAGAGTAACTGGTTAAGAAATATGGGGTTTTTTCAAGCTCATATTTTAAAATGCAAGTTCTTCTTTAAGCAACCTGTTCTTATCTGTAGAGGTCAGGAGGGCTGACTTGAGGTTCTCTGTTTTCTCCCTCCCTCCCCCCCAAAAGTGTTTTGCTTGCTAGCTTTATGGACAATTTCTTCTGAATTTTTTTCCCATGTACATAACTTTATGAGAATTTTCGCTATTTTCTAATTGCATCCTTGCTTATCTGGTGTCATTGCAATTCAGCAAGCCTGTGGTTCCTCTCTGTTGTATCTTTTTGTTGACCAAAGACATGGTCTACCTCATTGTTGTTCTTCTCTTTAGTGGGCTCTAGGACTGAAAACTGATACGATGTAAAAAACCGTATACAGAATTACTTATCAGAGAAGTTAATCAGTAATGGTCCAACCCTCAGAGATCATCTGCAAAACTTCCACTGAATCAGTTTCAAAACTCTTAGCATCAGCCCCAGTGACAGGAGCTGCTGCTGTACCAGAACCAAGGAACTAAGTATCAATACCCTGAACATGAATGAGAGCTTGGCAATTCACAGGACGAGGCTTCTTTTTTCCCCACACTAGTGGGAAAAATCGTGTCATCCACAAGTGCTTACATTTTGTATGAGTAATGAAACTACTTGCAGAGAGCTGTGAGTATTCCACAGTTGCAAAAATTCAATCACTTTTATTATGGGTTCTGAAAACACTTTGCTGTCTAATTTTAGATACTTAAATTTGAAAAATGTTGGCTGTCATATCTTTGCTTCTGTTGTGGGAACAAACTCATTAGCATTTGCCAAGTGCTTTTATTAAATGTTTGAATGGCTGCAGTACAAAAAACGCAGAACTTTATTATCCATACAAATATCTTCCCAGCATGCAAGTCCATTGTTGCTTTAAGCTTTATTTCGTTTCCAGGCAATGCAGAAAACACATTGTGGCATGGCTACTACGTAATACAACTAGCCTTTCTTCTGCCAGCCATACTGAAGCCTCAAGGGGAAACTCAGCAGCTTCCCTATTTTTCATAAGAACCAGCTGACCTTGCCAAACAGCTTAAATCTTGGGGTGCTTTCTAGGCATATACAGCTACCCAATTCTTTTCCATCTCCCTCCCTCAGCATTTCTTCTTGGAGTTAACTTAGATTTAACTTGGTTTCTTGAAATCTTAGATATCCAATTCTTCCACATCCTGTTTGGAAAGCCTGTGTGTGGCAAGTAATCTACAAATATGTTTAACAGTAGATCCACTAAATGAGCTTTTAGCAGAATTACTGTGTGGCTATGATTACATCAGTCTAGAACACAGGTCTAGATAGAAAAATATCTAAAGCAGCTACTAAACAGCTGATTTTCACTTTTTATTCAAATAGATATGCTAGGCAATAAATGCATATCCCAGATGAACACACCAAAGGGATCCACAGTAGATGTTCTAGCTTTCTCTTTCCTTCCTTCTTTCTCCCACATTAAAAAGGAACACATATAAAACAGTAGAAGCATCACCCTGAACCACCTGCAACATCGAGAAATTACAAAGTCTTGAATTGCTATGTTGCAATAAGAAAGACAATTATCTTCACTTTTAAAAGGTAAGGGTAGCAGATTTTAGAAACATCACCTTTTCATATTTCAGCATGGAAGATCTCCAGATACATGTAGAACATTTATAAGAACTGTTAAGTCTCATAACCACTTGTAAGCTTGTAAGAATAACAGTTCTTCTCCACTGCTCAACTGTCTTGAATTAATTAAGGCTCTTCTACCTGCAGTCTCTGTTTGAAAGAGAAACCACCTACCAGTTCTCCAGAAGGTATTTGGCTAACAAAATAGCCCAATCAGAGAGCAGATACAAAGTCTTGGTCTGGTCACTAAAGTTTGAGACACAAAGAGAAATAAATCATTCTGATATGACCTTGTCAGAGACTGTGGTGCTGTAATGGTTAATCTGTTTTCAGCCATACTCCCAATTCATTTCCAGAATAGCAAAGCAAAAACAGTAAAATAAAGAGATTAGAAAACAGAGTGGCCAAAAAGAAAATAAATGCCACAATCCACCTTTTCCTGCTAGTGTTTGATACTTCATTGACATATTTTTATGACAGGTAACTTGTACTTTAGGTATAAATTAATTCCATACTCCTTTTCTTCTTTTTTCTTTTGTCAGATAATGAAATTTGTAACTCTTTCACAAGTAAAGACTATGTCCTAAACAGATTCACAGTATTTGATAACAAAAACAGTTAAAACTGCTGCTTCAGTTTAACACTATTTTTAATTTCTGAACAGAATTTATAAAGTTAAAGAGTTGTTGCCAGCCATTTTTGTAACCTACTTCCCTTCTTGGATTTTCTTCTTAGAATGAAGGAAGTTTAAACTTATGAAATGCTTGCAAACAGAAATACAAAGAGAATTGCTACAATCTCAAAACTCTCAGAAATGCAACAGAAACTTTGCAATACTTAAGTCGATAAAGTACTTGAAGTGAATGCCAAAATTTTTACTTCAAAAGAGTCTACCCATACGACAAACTATGAGCAAGAAATACTCGTATGACCAAACAGTACAAGACTACTACATACGCAGTGTGGATCTCCTTCCCTGAGAGGAAAAACATTTTTAGAATCCCAAGTACAAATGCTAAGGTTGAACTCAAAAGACCTTTGCTATGCAGACAAGTTAGTGTAACTTTCTAAAATTGTTTTAATAGTCAGTGCAGGAATCGGCATGTTTGGTTTGGTTTTTAATCATGTATTTTGGTGGCATTTTTTTAAGTTACTGGAATTGCTAAGGAGTATCTCTGTTGCTATATCAAACTCTGAAACAGTTACTTTGATTAGATGAAGTCTGCTTTGAGAGAAAGGTTTTGTGGGGTACTTGTGCTGGAGAACTTATAATGAACTATTCAGTGTAAGAGGCTATCAGCAAAAAGTTATATACCAAGCTGGTGGTCAAGTAAGATAGTTAAACCTTTAAACTATGCAAGTGCCATTGGAGAAAAGTCATTAAAAATAGTCACAGACTTGACATTACTGTATGAGCAAAATACATAAGGTGCACATGACCTAAGAAAGTATCTCTGACGTCAAAGTCACAAAGGTCACAAAGTTTAGGAAACAACTTGAGAAAACAGAAACAAAAAACCGAACAGAATATTAAAATCTATCCTCCCCCAGTGGAAGATATCAAGGGTACATTTTAAAAAAAGAATTCATCTCATCTAAGTAGAAATATGACAATTAACTGACAAAACATCCTGGTGGGTTTGGGGTTTTTTGCTTTTTAAAAAATGTATTAAAGCCTGAAAGCCATTAATAAAAGACTAGAAAATTCAAGTCTTTGTGACCATATCAATAATACTTGCTTTTTTTTCCCCACTCGACACCAACAGAAGTCTTCAGAACGTTTATATCTTCACTACTAGATGTAACAGCCCTATTTCGAAATCCCCATGTACTTTGTTGAAACCACTGTTTCCTTTAATTATGCAACACTTAATTCTCAGCTTTTCAACAGGCTCCTAGAGTCCCGATTGTCTCAGAACAATCCTCAAAGAAATTTTTAGTAATTTCATCACATTTCTTAGTTTATTGCCCACGTTCAGCCTTTCTTATGTCACCAATCTAGCATCTGACTGAGAACTGCACAGGCAGGACCAGGCTCTCCAAGGCCATACAGCACTCAGTCACATGCTTTCCTTTTACAGAAGAAAATATGAAACTTAGAAAGTAACCTGCTGTACAGACGACTCCAGTCTCAGCCCTGATACAAAAAACTAGAGAATTCAATTACTAACACAAGACAGAGATTCGAATTTGAATCCAGGAATGGAGAAGATGAGAAATCCACATTAGTAATTAGTCAGCTGTTGTTTGTTGGGAGGGGGTAGGATGGGGTAATGGTTTCAGATGCTGCAATGTCCTCATAACGAGGAGCTGAAATGTATAAGAAACAGAGTACTTGTGTCTAAGCTCTACTTCAAAACAGCAAAAAAAAATCACAAAACAAGATGAAAATATCAAAAAAAATCACAAAACAAGATGAAAATATATCTATAGCTTTACTGAATTCTCTTCTGAATACAACATATCTGTTGTATCGGATAAGGCAATAAGGTCCAGGTTTTCTTTGTATAAATATGTGCAAAATAACACTTTAAAGTTTTTAAAAAATAAATTAGTGTTCTGTTCTCTTCTTGTTGTCCTTCCTTATCTTTTTGCTCTTTCCTGCTTGTCGAGATGATTCTTCCTGAAATGAAAAACAAGCATTTCAAAATTTAAACAATATTTTTGTAAACCACAACTATTCTCTCAAGGTAACCCATGAGAATTACTTTTATTATGAACAGTGTTCACTGGGATTTATGAAAATTTTGAGTTGTATAATATAACCTTTTAGTGTGGATGTGGCCTCATCATGAGATATACCAGGACACTAAAACTGCTTTGCTTCCCTAAGTGAAACAAATATTCAGCAGGAAAAAAAAATTTGGCCAGTCTTGCTGGATCAACACTGTAATGATCAGTTTCCTCTGACTGCCCATTCTGAAAAACAAGACTTTTCTTTAGTAGCACTCACTGCAAGCACTCCCCAAAATGGTGAAGGAATCTTACAGCACATCTGAAAAGAACACAAGACATTTTAATCTATCCCTTTCTAATGCTCACATACGGGAAATGGACTCTAACAGGTTGTTTGAATTCTGCTATTCTGAAGAGAGTCAGCTAAAAGAATACTTCCTCCAAGAGCCACATCCATGGCACTAGAATAATCATTACCCTAAGTTCCACCTGTTATTTTTCTGATGGACACTGGTAACAAAATATCTTAATACACAGTAAAAAAATCCCAGTCTGTTTTAAGTTGTTAAAAATAGAAAAAGTAGGCATTTTTTTGGTACTAAACCATCTCAGGAGGGTAAATACTTAAAAATCATTCATTTCCTTTTACTTTATGAGCAATGTTTTCAAAGAAAACACTGATAAACTGTCAAGAAGGTGAATCACCAAGTATATACAAGCACATTTAAAATGAAAAAAGCAAATAACTGAAAAGTGGAGGGTGAGAAATGGCAAAGAATACTCGGCTTTCAGCCATAGCTACCTGAAATACCTTCATATACAAAAAAAAAACCTTACAGCTGCATACTTTTTCAATTATCTATTAGTAATTATTTCCTACTATCTGAAGCTCTCTGTAGTTAGCAATTACATGCTATAATGCACATAGACATATCTAACATGCTTTTCTGAAGATGAAGAAGTGTTGATTCTGAGGATGAAAAAATGTTGAGAAACAAGAATGTGAGATTATTAAATGACCTGAGTCCTTTAACAAGTAAAATGCCATTTAAAGTAACTTGGAAGTTTGTCTCCTGAGTTATTTAAGTTCCCTTGGAACATTTTGCCATAATCTTTTCTGTACCAGTAACGTTATTTTGCTTGAATTCTGGACTGGATTTTTTTTTTAATGGTGTCATCTATAATTCTGAAAATTTCTTTGAGTCTAACAAAGCTTTCCATTTTGAAAATGCCTACTAGTTACAGAGATTCCCACACTCAGTCTGCCTGCAGACTAGAACTGGTGGCACAGGGAAGCATCAAAAGTGGCAGCTTCCAGTTTTCTGAACACAGAAAGAGGCACTTCCCTTTACCATCCTCTTCCAACTCTCAAATTCGTTTTTGGATCAGTGTTCTCAACTGCTTCTACCCTTCTGCTGCACACCTCACACTTCCAAAACAGGTCACTAGCTTCCTTGGAAGTTCTCTGCACCAATCCTGTGAGCGCATCAAAGCGACCCAAGGATGACATAGGATGTATTACTTTTCTTCTGGCTTCACCTAACAGGAAAAATTCACACAAGTTCACATGCAATGCCTTTCTTCTAAGGGGCAAAAACTTACCACTGAAGGTACGTAGTCATATTCCACCAGAACATTTCTTGCACAATTGTTTATATGTTTGAAACGATCTGGTCCCAACAGAATACCTCCATACCAGCGGGATACCACAACTAACACATTGTGGACATTCAAGATCTATGAATAACAGAAAGAAATAAAAGTTGTTCTTTTTTAACCAAACTAGTTTTACTGTTGGCACCAGTTTTAGACAAAAAAAGTTTACTATCTTGCTTTTTTATGAAGGTCTTACAGTCAGGTCTGTGGCACACACAGGTTACCAGAGAGTGACAAAGAATGTCAAGTCAGTAGTTGTGTTTAAGTTTCCTCTTCAAGCTCCTATCCAAAGTTAAATGCAAAAGTAAAATGAGTCCCTGTATCCCTCAGAAAGGGTACAAAGCTATCTCATACACTACCATTGCTCATCCACATGTCAAAAGCTTCAGGTATTACTTGAAGGGAAAATTAATGAGTTACATTTCTTATTGTTTGATATGATCAATTATTATTTCCAGAGAACCCTTACTATTAAGCAGATTGTCTATTCACATTTTTAGAAGTATTGATGGATGAGGCTCATAACATTCAGGGCACAGGCATTATTCATGTGGATACCAAAATGTAGCTAGTACTGTTAGCATGTGCATGTTAACAACCATTAATCATCTTCATTAAGGAGAAAAAAAATAGGTATTTCACTAATTTGAAGAATGCTATTACAGAAGTCTATCACTGTTTGTGAAAACAGAAATATTCTTAGAATTTTAAAACGAAAAGGATAATGAAAAAAAAAAAGGATTGGGGCATTTTCTATGACAGGCATTTTCTACTCTATGTATCGGCCATAAAGTCTCTGTATAGCAACTCTTCACAGTGAACAGGACAGTACTAATCTAAAATACAGTTTCTTGTAATCAGAAAGAGCTGTCTTAAGTGCTAGGTTTATCTGAAATAGGACTAGATTTCTATTGAAAAAAAAAGAGCTATAACTACAGCAACAACAAATGTTTTAAATCACCTAATTTTCATACCCATATCGCATGTCATAAGAGCTCATAACAAAAAAACTACAAGATCTGTGAACATCTAGAAATCAGCCCATAAACTATTTTAATCTTTTTCTATGGCTGAAAATTGCTCTTTTCTGTTCCCTACATTAGTATTCTTCCAAAACTAAAATATTCTCAGTAACTAGGACTACAGATGAAGAGAGATGATCCATATAATTTAGACATATTCACATTTGAAATGAGATACTTCATGTCACTTTCTGAACTGGATTTTTATGGAATATTAAGTGCCTAGACTTTTAAGTCTGACAGCTTTCAAAAGTATATATTAACAAGCTGAGAACAAGATGATAAGATCAGATCAGACTGAGGTACAGTAACTGCCAAATTTGCTTCTTTACATTCTTTTTGTAACAATAATGTTTTCGCTCTTAGCACATACACTTGCATATACTGCATAACCAAAGTTTTCATTCCCAAGGCTGGTTTGAGTCACTTAGGAAGTCTGAAAAAGTTCTAAATTAAAAATGTCAAAATATTTCCATCAATTTCTTTTTTTTTTTTTTTCACAAAAAAGAAAGCTTTTTGGGGAAAAAAACATCTCCAGGAGTAAGAGCCTAACACACTAAGCAACCTAATATTCAAGCAAGAAAAGCATGGGAAAACAAAACTGTTGTGAAGGTGACATCAATCTAAAAATAAAAATCAAACCCAATATTTTGTCTGTTCATACTGCTAAGTGTCTTGAGGCACATCATTAAGACATACCCAGATAATTTCTGTAGTTTATGATATTTTATTTATAGCTTTACTGGGGCTTGCAGAGTGAACCAAAATTTATCAATCTCAAGTCACAGTTAGTAGCACCTTTGCTGAGGGAATATTATTTCAACAGGTGAAAACTAAAATATAAGCAAGTATGAGGGTTAAGGAGACAGAACCAGAAACATGCTAACAAAACAGACTCAATTATCAAACAACTGCTTCACTCCCACTACCTTTTGTGTTTGAAGTTCTACTGTGCAAGTTCATACATTTGTCTTTCTATTATGCATACTCGAGGAAACAGCATCAGCTTCTTTCAGTCTTCATTTGCTATATACCTTACACCACATACTAAAAGCATAGGAATCAAAACTTAATTAGCTCTTAACCCATTCAAACTATTACTACCACCCTATGAAGCACCACTCTTTTCTATAATCTGAGTGCTGAAAAAATACTACAGTCTGATTTTCCCTTCAGCTTTAAAAAAGCAATCATCTGTTTGACTGCAAGCAGAGCAAGAATTAAAATAATTTTCTACAAGCTTATTTACATTGTAGTGATTTTTAAAATCTGTTCGAGATTTCTAGAAAGTCAAAGATTAATTTCTAGAACCTGCATGAGATGAAGAAGACGTCCACCTGCTGCTGTCTCTCCATCATCTTCACAATCCTGTAAGAAAGTCTGCTTATCTTCACAGTATATTCTTGGGAAAAAACCAAACAAAATAGATTAAAAAAAATGTCAATCAACTAACATCTTTATATGATTAATAAAGTCTCAGAGATCTTTCATACATATATGTATCAATTATAATTCTCTACTAAGGACATTTACATGAATACAGGATGAGGCTTAAGGTAAACCACTAATATTTTTATCTGTGCTGTAGAACAAGTTTTGAGAAGCTTTTACAAAGACTTTACCTACTTCAGGTTAACTCCAGAGTCATACCAGCATAAAGTCCCTAAACAGAAAAATCCTTAGGTTTTTAGTCTAATAATTACACCTAGCTGAAGCCAACACTACCAGATACAAGTTCAAATTACGGTACAAACCCATAAGTGGTAAGAACTTGGACAAAACCATCATGAATAATTAGTTATGTCTGCATTTCAGCAGCAACATGAAACTATTCCTGAAATTCATCTTCAGATTCTCCATGTCATCTCCTTTCCCGGGGGGATGCTCCAGGAAACTTTTGGATATATTGCTTCATATAAAGGACAGCTGCACAAGTCTGATTTTCCAGAACTAATGCACAGCGGTCTACTGTTTGTTACCAACTGATTTTATAACTTCTGAACTTACTAATACACAGGTGACACAATGAGAAAGAGGCTTCTAGTACTCAGAGGACAAATAGGAAGCAGTAAGTATGTGCCTGTTGCTTTTTTGAAGTGTATTTGGATAGTACGAGTGAAAGAAGCCAGATCATCATCTGCAACAACAGAAATCCCCTCTTCACAGAAACCATTTACTTACTTTTGCTTTGTGGTAAAATAAGCTTTCACTTGCTCTCATTTCATGTTTTATTAGGATCACACCAGGATGGGCATGAATGGATCAGAATCTACACTGCTTTTTCAGATGATTGGTTCCTCCAGTAAGAAAAGGGCTCCCTTTTACTGTCACTTACACTCCTCAGAAAACCTGCATCGCTATCTGGACTGAGACCGATTCGTTTCACATAAGCTACGTTCACAAGAGTTGCCAGAGGCAGATCACTGCCAAATGAATTTTTACCTGTTTCTCATTTTCCCTGAAGTTTCTCGTATTTCAGCTGAAACTTCATATGCCAGATGTCTGCATCAGGCTTTCTGTTTCGAGTCTTATTTCAACTGAACATTTTCAGCTATTTCTAAACATAAGGTTAGGGGGAAAAAAAAGTTACTTCATCCAAGTGAAAACACATTTAGTTCAGGATGATGCAGCATTTCCATGCTCAGACATACTATACAAAGTACATCAACACATGTTCAAATCCACTTTTGCTTTTTTTTTCTATTTCTAATGCTGCTTTACTACCTTATTTCCTACTGTATGTTCTACTTTCTTGACCTCAAAGTAAAGCCTGCAATACCATTCAAATAAGAAACCTACTCCCTTAAGGATTTAATAGGAACGATTTTCTTTCTCATGTCCTGTACTCACTTGTCAAAGAACAGTAAAAAAAAAAAGAAAAAAAAAGAAAAATCACTATTTGCATCTCACCTGTATGCATATATGTTGTGAGTAGCACTTGCAATCTTCTTGTTCTCATATAATTTTTCAAGAACTCTTTTTACCTTAAAAAAAATAGAAAAACTCCTCTTTTTATAACAGAGATTTTATATACATATCTCAATATCACTGCAAAACAAACATCTCTCTTAGTACATACACAAAACAATTTTACGCTTTGACATAAAATTAATTAAATATTGAGTGTATCTCAAGAAGCTTCTTCTCAGTACCCTCATGTTTCCAATCATTTTTCTGGGATACTGAAAACAGATGCTCCTTGAATTTGTACATTGTATACATTCATGTTATTGATGAAGATATAGAAGTGTCAAATTGCTTTACTAAACAGGAAAGACAGTAAGTTACAGAAGGTATTTTTAATAAGTATTATGTATAAGTAATCAACCTGATTATTCTTCCAAATATAAGATTAAGATGGAATAGAGCATAACTTGAATATACCACTACACACTGCTTTTACTTATTTTACTTGAAATGTGATGTCTAGAAAACCTTACTATATTTCACTTTGAGTTTTTCCTTTTCTTTCAAACATGTGGTTTCCATTTCACAAAAAGAACAATAAAAAAAGGTTCTATTAGGGGTCTGAAAGTGTCAGTATTTCCCAGGAAGTATTCCCATCATGTTCATTCTTCTGTTCTTAAGAACTACCAAATGCAAACCACTAATCAATAGAAGTTCATCTTATGCTTCTAATTAAACAAGCTAGCAACTGTTCAAGCCTTTCCAATGGTCTAGCAAAAAGGAGAGCTTTTGATTAAGGCATTGTTTTAGTACGTAATGCAAAACATTACTGAAGTTGAGGAAGTTTGGGAAAACATGCCTGGCAAGCAAATTGCCTTTCATTGCAAATTAAAATGTCTCCGAGGTGTAATCAACAGCCATACTTAATATCTGTCTTAGCTGTACTGCGCTATTTCCAACTTTTCTTGAAGAAATTCAACTGACAAAAATCATCTCAAATAAAAGATACCTCAATGAAAAAACTGCTATTATTAGTTAAGAACATTTTTCTGGACACCTGTGTTCTCCTTATTTTGAATATTTAAGAAAGACAACTTATATTAATACAGTCTCATAAACATGGACAGTACATGGACTTAGGGTACAAATCACATGAAATGATCATCACCTTTGACATTACTTATTTGCCAGCTACCAGGTTCCTAAAAACATATTTAAAGATTCATTATGTGTCTGTATTAGCAATGGACCTTGAAGACAGACATGTTAAGACTAAGCAACAATTCATCCTGTTCCCTGATGTAGCTCCTAGCGTTTCTTTTCCTCCTGTTCCTCTCTACTATTCCTGCTTTAGGGAAATAAAGGATGTGATTCTCTACATGCCAGTGAAGCATCTGTTCATAAAAGACACAAGATGTTTAAACAATAAATCAGTTCTTAGTCCCACTCAATGGAGTTCACACCGTACTCTGTACACTGTCTCAAAATATCGATGAGTATCATTGCAGTACACAGATTATGCAGATAAAGTTGATAAAGAAGCCAGCTTTCACTACAGCTGCAGTGCTTACTCAATTCCTCATCAGTTTTGACTCTCCTTGAGAAAAATTAGTCCATATCACAGTAAAGCTTCCCTGCAGTCTGAAGACCAATCACCTCACATTGTACAGCAAGACTCTTGTGAAACAAGATGGATTTGACACCTTGGGGAATTGCTCTGTCTTTATACTAACCACATACCAATAAACCTTGACTGAGAATCCCTGGGTTTATTTAGTATTTGCTGTCTTTGGAAAAAAAAAAGGCATGAAAGAAGAATGTCAATTAAGAACATCTTTGTATGCAAAAGGCAAATCACTAATCTGCTTTAAGTGAGTCCTACTCCTTGACACAGATCTGTCCTTTTGCAAACCACAGTCTGTGGGTACAGACTTCCTCATGTGTAGGAACAATCTTATTCATAAATCATGATAAAAGAGCAAGTGTATTTTAAATTGAAAAAATTACATTAACCCACTTATTCTGATTTCCTCCCTTTCTAAAGCAACACAGTTCAAACATGTATTACATATAAAAGAATCACTTAAAGCAGATACAGCTGTAGCACAAAAATCTAAACGAATGTACAGTGTATGTGAACTTGAAAGGTCAACGTGCTCCAGGAAGGATACAGGGATTTAAAGACCAAATCTTGTATCCATACTAGGCAAATTAATGAGAGAGAATTAAAAACAACAAAAAACCCCACAAACAGATCAAAAACCTACAGCTATTGTATAGAGAAATACAACTCAACACTCTGTCAACATTCTTTCACAGTCACTGACCATGGAGTAGACTTAGCTTACCTGGAATGTCAAAAAAGCATTTGGCAATATCCCTTACCAAAAATCCTTAAAATAAAACCTAAAATTGGACAAAACAGAAGAGAAAAATCTTCTCATTTAACTCTCAGTTTATAATAAGAAAAGATGAGTAGCTTCCCCACTAAACAGGGATGATCAAAGGAGGCTGATGACAATAGATGTAAAGTGATGTACAAAGTAACTCAAAACCCCTCTCAAGTAGGTCTCAATAAAGATTTACTTATGCATTATCCAAGTGTGTTTTTGAATTGAAATCCTTTCTGAGGGATGGAAAACATTTATAAATTCATGTTAGTTAATTTTCAAATTAACACATGATAGACTTGGGAGCTTCCAAATATTTTACAATAAACTTGCTATCACCCAGAAGTCAAATTACAATGTTCTTATTCTCTTACATCTAATGCACAGAATGGTAAAGAACAGCAGGAAGCACTGCAGAGGCTGTTATTTAGAGATATTTCGCTGATAGTGAAAGCAAGAAACTGGTGACTAGGCAGACAGTGTTAGCACATGAAGATGCAGAGACAGACAGACAGACAGACAGACAAACACACCTGGCAAATTCGAAGTATTCCAGTAATATTTTGTCAAGCTCAAAGTACAGGCAAAAGGAGAAGAACTGATTTCTACTAACTTGTCTGGTTGTCACCACTGGAGCCAGATGTGCCTGGAAAGTACTCCTTCGATCTGTGATTGGGTTTCCATGATGTATGGGTGGCAGTTCTTCATCTATTGATCACAAACAAGGAAAAGTTTGCATTCTTTCAAGAGTATAAAAACAATGTATATGGCGATATACGTAAAAATTATCTCAACTTTTAGAAAGGCATTTGTTAAAGTGAAGTACACTAGATGACAAACAGAACAAGTAAAAATATGTTGGGTTATTTAATGACTGTTACAAACTTTATTATGATTTTATTGTTACTAATTTTTCTCTAAAGCTGAGTAGAACAGCAGAATCTTCAAGCCTCTCCTACATTATTTCAACAGAATTAACATGAGCATACTTTTTACCTTCCTGACTTTCAGATGTCACGTAATTTAACATTTTAATTGGATCTTCCTGAATGGGCTCATAGTCTAGGACAAAATCTTCTCCATCATCTTCATCAACTTCTTCAGTGGTTTTCTTAATATCCGGTTCTATTACAATATAAGTAGTAGAATTTATTACACTTTTTTTTTGCAAGACAAGCAAAACAGAATTTCAAACTCTTTGAAATCCAGAGTTCTGGCATCTAGATTTAGAGACAAGTTAATACATCACAGTTAGATTCCTACTGAGGGCCTATGATGTGGTGATGATTGCAGTTTTTATAACAGGTATTTTCCATAAGAAAGCAGAGGGGTGATAAAGCATGTTCAAAAGGTCTACAAAATCATTAGATATAATAAGTAGAAGCTGTAAGGTTGCAGTCAAAATAACTAAACTTCCAACACAAATTTTCACTTCTCAGTATCCACTCCTTTAATTACATCAATGAAAACTAACTTCTTAAATGTCTGTGATGTAGCAACAAAATGCTCAGTTTATTGAAAGACTAGAACTAGACCTTACTATGAAGCAACATTGAGAATAGAATTTATTTTCCTCTTCTGTCTTTGATTCCTCACAGGACTAACACCCATGACACAGAAAAGTACTTCTCTTACCCTTTGCCACATGTGCATGCACACGTCACTCATGCATTTCATAGCAGTTTAGCATTTTAATGCACAAAACCTCCCTGCCATTTTTTGAAAGAACTGTAAATTTACACAAACGGGGTAAGAGTTACAACAGAAGAATCACCTCAGTTCTAGTGGTCATGTACTTCTCACCCCAATACAGTAAAATAAAATTAAGATGGAATACTTGGTCATTTGTCTGCATATTCCAGTGAAGTTTATCTTCAGCTTGAATTCCAATCCTCCGACAGTGCACTCAATACCAGAAATTAATTACTGATATGAATAATTGCTTTGCAAAACAGAGGACAATGCATAATGTACTGTGTGCACATGCAAGTAATTTCATTCCTGAGAGAACTGAGGACCTTGTTCTAGTTCAAAGGCCACCCTCCTTCTTCTTTTCCCTACTGCTTTTTAAAAAGGGAAGCTATCACTATAAGTAAGCCATATAGTAAGCCATGACACTGCAGACTGCTTTCTGACATGTAGATCCAATACAATACTGGACATAAACTTTAACTTGGACTGAAATTTACTCTGCAGTGGAACAAGAAGTACACTGAAAACCCCGTGTGTTTTCTGAAGTACCTGGTTCTGAAGATTGTGCCTTTTCTATCAGAACTTCTCGTATCTTCTCCACCCATAAATACAGTATGCTTTCACCAAGGTTCTGTCTGGAAGTAAAAGCCCACAGTAAATGAAGAATCATTTTTTTTTGCAGATTTCATTTGGAAAGCACACCAAATAGCACACAGATTTCAGACACACAGAAATAGAACATAATAAGCTAGTGAGATATACAGCTTAGGCAGGCTTGTGGAAAGTTCTGTCTCGGTACTTCACTGGGTGAAACGTGGTATCTGTGTCATTCTGTGGCATGCTTTACTTATTTATTAACATTAAAAGCACCAATACTGGAGGGAAACAGGAAACTGACAGAAACTTTCTGACCACTAAGCAAAGGGAAAGCAACTGTGGGAAGAGTCAGTCAGACAGACCTCAGTATTTTGAAAAGAATACTAAGCTACAATGTCTAGACTTAGAGCTTGCCCTGAACCGGTTTTCTCTACAGAAAGCACTGTACTGCCATGGTGATCTCCTTCAGCTGCTCTGACAACCAGTCCTACAGGACAGGGAGGTAAAGATTTAGGTCTAGTAGTCTTCAGTCAGGGACACAGATGTGTATTAAGGTACTGCGGCAGGATGGAATGAACATGTTTTATATATACATATTTGGAATTAAGAAATGCTTCCTTTACGTGCAGCACGACCCAAACAAGTCAAAAGGCATTTCAAATGGTGTCCTGCAAAGCTGCCTTCACAATTTTAGTTTAGTATGTTTACGAACTGTGCATGTTTGTCTCTGAACCAAAACTAAAGATTTAGGGCCATATGTAACTCAAGGTTTCTCATTAATTTTATTCTTACTGCCACCAACTGGGCACCATGTAAATGACAAAATTACATCTTTAAACTCTCACTCAGCTTAATGTATACAGCACTACTGCTGGAAACAATCAAATTCAAACAAACATCCATATTTTAAGAAAAAATATTCAAGCAAAAATAAGGGATTTATAAACCTGTAGCTCTGTATTCAAAATCTGGACAGACTCCAGAGCAATTCAACACCTTGATCTCACACTGCTTATTATACAGAAGCACTGCCTTAAAACCTGAAGATCTAGATTTTTTCTTTAGCGATGGAATGAGAGAGATTACACAACAAATAAAATTTTTCAGTTTTGTACAGTTAAATAGCAATTTCTCCAGCTATAACCCAATTTCAGTTTCTGAAGTTGTAAATTACACTTACTCTGAAAAGCTACCTTTCTATGCTGCTATTTTTTTTGTCACTTGTGTCTAAGTCATGAAACAAAGCTTTCTGATGAATAAAAGTCTTATCAGAAGAATATCTGGGAAAAAAACCAACCAACCAACCAAACAATGAAAACTAAATACAGTTATTTGCTATGTTTTTGAGAACTGCTTGTCTCCCAAAACAAACTTGTGATCTATAATTATGCACTCTTTACATGTCCTTAAGAAGACACAGCAATTGCCAGTATAGTTCATACTGGTTTAGACTGCAGAACTCTACAACTCAGATCACTAGGGACTAGAGACCTGGTCAAACACACAGTGCAAATGATGCAGAGTATCTGTTTATCCAACAACCACTCAGACACTGAATAAATAAAAGGTTTTCACAAATACTGTGGACATCAGTGACTACTACAGGTTTTTAAACAGTCTAAAATGACATATATGGCCTAAAGTACAAACATTCACTTCCTGCTGAACAAACAGAAGCAAAAGACCAGCAAGGGCTCTGAAGAGCAGCTGATACAGACAGAAAGGAGCTGCAAGGGACTGAATTTGCACACTTTAACAGTGTACAAAACTGCAGAGTTGGGGAACAAAAAAAAAAGAAAAAAAACCCTCTTTCACAGCCATGCTCACAGTCCTCACATGCCAACTTGTGCCAGATGCTCAGGACATTTAAAGAACCACCTACAGCAGCTCTGCCGGTGGTACAGACTCCATCAAATCCTTTGAATCTGGACAGCATTAAGGACAATCTCTGTCCTTTTTGCTCCACTGAAAAACTGTGGTGAATATGTTCCCACAGAATTTTTGCCTAAAATCCTTGTGCATTTTTAACACTTCAAATTCAATTTTACTTGCTTAAATGATCTAAATGATCTTAGCTAAATTAGCTAAGAAACACATTTAACCAAAGTAACTGAGTAATTAGATAAAAACCCGTTATGCAAGCTAAGTGCTCTCTTCCTTATGGCATTAAAAAAAACATTTCTTATGCATGATGTTCAGATTTCACTATCTGGGACATGACTGTGCTTCCTTATGATGTATTTTCATTTAATTTAGTTTGCATTATATTTGGGATCTGAAAGATATAAACCATATAAAATAACAACATTTACTACCCCAATTTTACAGCAATTTACGAACACATAATTTGAGTATTTCTAAATGCTCTGTTTATTCTCATGCATTTTGCCTTGTTGTAAGCTGCACACTGTGATAATAAACAGTCCATATGCTTTAACATTCAAATGCAAAATAGATGCAGAAATCTCATACTTTGTAGCAATAAACAATCTCACAGATTCCAAAGAGCATCTATTCTATTAAGTTTCAAAATGAAGGCTTCTATCCTTACAGAAAATCAGGCCTAAACAACATAAAAGAGATTTCTCAAGAGTTTAGCCCAACTTGTTATTGTAAAATGATTAGTAAATACATGGCATCTTTAACTGTTAGATTGATAAAAGAAACTTGCTCTGTCTATTGCAGCAATCACATCACAACTACTAGTTAATGCAGGTACTTCAAAAGCATACAATAAGCAGGGCATGGAACTGAAAACACACTGTATCCTTTTCTATATTCCAGTCTTGAACTTACAGATATATTTCTTCCAAGCTATTTGCTAGTTCCATATAATCTTGTCCTCGAAGCCAAGGGGCACTAAAATGAAAAGAAATACAATAAAAATTGTGCCATATGCTGCTTCTAACATTCTAAAATAAACGTGATAAACACCTTGAAAATACAAATCATCAAGATTTCAGCTGCAAACATTTTGAGAATAGCACCATCACTCAGTTCTCCTTCAAGACACTTAACTTGGGCTGCCTTTTCTTACCTCAGTTAAAAAAGCTGGACTTATCTTTCATGGAAGGCCGCTGTCACTCCAGAGTCACCCTAAGTATTATTAGTTGACCCTTCCAACCCCTTCAGCACCATAGTACCTACTACATTTAGAATGACCCTTCAATTTTGTACCATTGTCCTCCTGGCCTCATGTAAAACTTCAAACTTTGCCTCGAGTTAATTAGCACTATTTTGTATTGCCTCGTCAATACTCCTGAGCAAAACTCAGTAGATATGTGTGTGCCACACCCTGCAGGTCCTCCTATCACCCAAATCAGTGACCTGGCTTACACATTCCACTCCCATCTTGTTTACCTATCAGGAGACAAAGGGAGAGCAGGGATGGAAAACAGGAAGATGGCACATGCCATGGCTCCATCTCATGAAAAGCATCCCTTGCAATGTGAAACAAGGATCCAGAAAAGAGGGGTACACCCAAAGACACATCACTGTCTAACGCAACAGGCAGCTGCCACCATAACTCCACAGTCTCACTGCTGCCATACCACAAAATAATGCTGCAAGAATTAGAGTTGAGGGAAGAGAGAAAACTTTCACAGGGAGCTCTGCAATGTTAACTTGGGAGAAAGAACAGAATATTCTTGCTGGAAACATCCCTCATCCCCTGTATACTTTAATTTGAAGAGTCATCTTAACTAAGCTTCCACTTACATGGTAAACAATCAAGAGTGGTAATTCAGAAAATACAAATGTTTGCAAGAAAAGTTCACCTACTTGAGTTGATAAATAGGTGGCTCTTCAGTCGGATATCCTGGCGGCAAAATCACCTGAAAGAAATACAGAAAAAATATTAATTGGACTACTCCTCTCAGCTAGTTGAGCTTTACTGGAGGACTCTGATGTTGAGAACTAGGACTATAATTTGTGTTACAAATTAAGCAAACAGTTGGGTATGTTGTTATAGAATTACAAGAACACCTGAATATCTGTATTTAGAATTCCGATAATGGTAACACATACAATTATATTTCACAGTGCCATTTTTAAGGATGCAAAATAAAGTATGGAAAAAATTTGAAAGAAGCTGCACACATGGTTACTGGACTTCAATAAGTGGCATCACACTTCCATAAGTAGACATGTCAGTGTTGCACTAAGAAACTTACTGCTTTCCCTTCTGAACACATAAAGCAACAAGTTACTCAATTAAGTTGATACAAATTTCGTTTTGTCTCTATACTCTTCAGAACATAAATCTAGAAGCAACTGCAGCAGATTTATTGAAGTGTGCTACACAAAGTCAATGTTAAACATTTTTCAGAAATTAGTCTTTGGAGAAGCACACTGAAATTTTTTTGCCAGGTGTGGAATTAGGACATGTAACTACTGAATATATCACAAGCACATCGATGTGTTACAGGAAAACAATCACTAAGAAGTCTTATCACAGATTCCAACTTAAGCTTCTTAATCCACCTTAGTAAATACTGAACCATATTTAGAATGGTTTCATGCAGCACACATTTTCACCTGCATCAGTGCAACTGCAAGTTTTGTGCTAAACTCCTCCCCACCACTATACCTGCAAACAGAGGGTCCATTTTGGTTGATCCAGACAATCACTAATCTTAATGCAGTAGATTTTTTCATCTTCATCAACAACACACCAATCTTCACCATAGATGGATGAAAGGGCTTCAATTTCATCAATCTAAAAGAAAAAAAACCAAGAAACCATTATGCAAAAATAAATAACTCCCCCACAAAGCCCACAGCTTTGTGTGTGGCAATCATAGTATTTTTTAAGCCTTGCTCCTCTACAGCTTATTGACAGATGTGACAGGATTCACTCTACTGGAATGCCGTAAGGATTGGGGATTCAATCCTGATTCGCAGTTGTGCCAAGGGAGGTTTAGGTTTGGACATTAGGAAGAATTTCTTCACAAAAAGGGTGACTGGACATTGGAATGGACTGCCCAGGGAGGTGGTGGTATCACCATCCCTGGAGGCATTTAAGAAAAGACTGGACATGGCACGCAGTGCCATGGTCTACTCGACAAGGTGGTGTTGGGTCACAGGTTGGACTCCATGACCTCAGAGGTCTTTTACAACCCAGCTGATTCTGTGATTCTCTAGGTAACTTCTCCTCGGTTCTCCCACGCGCACACCACCTTTGGCATTTCAGTGGACAATCCTGTCATTTCCAGCAGTGACAAGGTGACCAAAGCGACACGGAGCAGCGACAACACATTCCCTGCAGCTCCCTATCCGTGCAGCTCCCGGCTGGGTCGGACCCCTGCAGGGGAAAGACCCCCGAGAGCTCGGCACTAAGCTCTTCCTGAGGAAGAGGGGGTACTCAGCAAATTCCCATAAAAAAAACAAAAACAAAAACAAAAACAAACAAAAAAAAACAGAGAGCCTCCTTCCACACAGAACCCAAACACCTGGAACGGGTCCTTGGCGCCGATCGTGCCACCGCGGGCGCGGAGCCGCTCACGGGGCCGGGGCTCGCCAGGAGCCTCCAAAACACCGCTCTCCCCGCAGCCCCCTCGCCCCCACCGCCGCTCACCTGCTGCTGGGCCCTTCCCGTGTCACCGGCCGCCATAGGGATCCGAGGGAAGCGGGAGGAGGAGGAGGAGGAGGAGGGAAAGGGGAAGAGAGCCGTGTGCGCAGCTGTGGCCGTGACGGCGGCCGCCCTTCCTTCCGCCACAGTACCGGTGGAGCGGGCACACAGTCCGGTGCTGTCACGGAGTGCCGCAGAAACCGCGTTAAACCTCTCCTGCGGGTTTTTCGCCTCATTCCTTACACCCTGCTTTGAAAACAGAGTGTGTGAACAGCTCTATTTCAGTGACGAATTTACTGATGCAGCCGTTTTCACCTCGCGTTTTACGAGACTCGGAATGTGCGATAGACAAAACGACGTAATTTCTTCTAAAAATTATTTTAAGGGATCACAGATGTTACAAGCGGTTTTCATTACAGGTCTAGAAATTAATTTCTTTAACATTGACAAGTTTAAGATACCTAAATCTTTAGAGACAGCACTGATCAGTCAAGACACCTTTTGGCTTGCGTGCAAAGCATGCGTGTCACCTGTTTTTCTGGTTTTTGTGGTTCATGTTTTCTTCCAGTGTGATTTCGTGCTGGCATAATCATGAAGAATTCAAGTTAATCTTTGTTTTCCCCTTTCTCAAAAGCTTGGAGAATTCCTGGAGAACAGGATTAGACTTCAGAAGCATGGTGACAATCAGGACAGGCGTTATAAAGGCAAAACCAAACTAAAACAAAAAAAGCACTGAAAAAACCCACCCAAAACAAAACAAAAAAAAACACAAACAAAAATACCTTAAAAACCCCAACAGCAACAAACAAACAAACAAATAAATAAAACCCACCAAAATCCAGGATGCAATTGAGTAGGGACAAACTTAGCTATGGATTATCAACTACATACATTCTGGATGAAGATGGAGAAGTGCTGTTTGCAGTCTTCAGTGTCACAGACAGAGCTGGTTTAATTATCTTTGAAACAGTAATAAAAAGAATATATCCAGTCCCAGAACATGACAAAAATGCACATTTTATCAGGCAAAGTCACATATTCCACTTAATTTTAAAAAGAGAGAAACAGGGAGAGAGAGACAGAGCAACCTTATTGTTCAAACAGTTGTCTTCTGACCAAAACATAACAGAAAGCTTCAATCTACAAGGACCTAGAAAAGATAGTGCTCCATCCGTTCATCCTAATATTAAATTGCCTTATAAATTTAAAGACAGAAATAGGACATTTTTAAACTTTCTGACAGCAATCTCTGTCTAGTGTTTGTGCTTTATAAGTTGCTAGTTTTGACTTAGCTGAACAAGTGAGTTTACTATACACATGATTTGTTATTAAATAACTCAGAACTGTTATTGACATCTTTTATTGCTGTTGTCTATAATCCATATAAAAGCATTGATATGAAAGACTTTAGCAATGTAGTATTGGGCCAGGAAGAACATGTACCAGACATCTCTGATAGATTTCTGAGGACTGTATAATTTCCTTTCACTGTCATTTATATTTGTGATAAGTCTTAAAAACCAGAAAAGAATGTAAATTTGGCTAATGAATCTCCAGCATTTTTGTATATACTAAATTAATAACAGAGGAGCTGAATTGATATGGTGCACAGGAGTATTTATCAGCTAATTAATTGCTTTGTCCATCTGAAATAAACATTCTGTTAAAGCTGGTATGAAATACATATTCACAGCTTTCAAACTAGGAAAATGACATAGTGGAGTTTACTGAACTATTTGGGTCTTCTTTTAGTACATAACTGAACATCACTGTTCTTTATGGTGAGACATCTCCCAAACAGATACTCTTCACAGCAATGCATTAGCTTCGATGTTTAAAATGGTTACTAAATCTAACCTTTGGTCCATCAGTTCTGTCTTTGTAAACTATAGATAGCAAACAAAAAGCATTGAAAGCTCATCAAATCAATTAAGCAAAAGGAGTCCCTGACGTCAGGAAATGGCCCAAATTACCACCTTGAATCTGAATTCTTCATTCTGTCTTCTCAGGGCAAGAAAATATACTGAGTAATTACTGATGCTTTTCTGGATCTAGATTTTAATCCTAGAGCACAAAAAGCTTAAAACAGATACAAATAATATTTATTCAATCAGGATTGAATCACAAGTAAGTGAAAAATACAGAACTTAAAAATACAGAAGAACTAACGTTTGAGTAAAATATCAATAACCCTGCTTTGTTTTGCATATCTCATATTGTTCAAGCAATATGATGCATTTGCAACTTCTCCTTTATAATAAAAAAAGAGGAAGATTAAGAACAAATAAGAACAATGTCATGTCAGGTACTATTAATTAATGCCCTCAGTTCTGTATTCTCGTTTCAGGCAAGATTTGCTTATACTAAGACTCTGCCTGTACTGTAGCTTTTTCCTGTAGTAACTTACCAACAAAACACTCCATTTCTCTAATGCTCCAATTCTACTCCACATTTAATAGAAATCTCATTCTGTAATAGAAATCTCAATTGTCCCATCCAATATTGAGCATATATATGTTTAAGCACAAAGTAGTTCAGCTGATTTCACTTTCACAATGATGTGTTTCTCTAGATCATACTCTAAAGTGACATTAAGTTTCATAACTGTAAGCTCTCCATGCACAGCTGATTTATCATTTTGAAACTAAAACCAAACTCAAATGATTCAATCACAGGAACAAGAAAGTGCATTAAACAAGCCTAATTCTTGGTCTAAAACTACATGTCTGGTAAGACTAAGGAGAAATATATGTACAGGTGACTTAGCACCTTGGTTAAAGATGTTTCTGCTCATTTAGCTACTATCCATTTTTTTGTATTGGCTATAGCAGTGTATACAGTTGCCTTCTGTAGAGCTATAGAAATCCAAAAGCTTTTCTATGAAATAGTAACTGCTAGCAGGTTTTAGGAGCCTCCTGAGTGAATTCTCACATTTTCTCCTGCCATACCTGCACTTAGATAAAAAGAGGCATATTAAAAGGAACTCTTCTCTGTTTAGGATTTTTTTTTTTCTGCTAGAGAATACCTCCAGAAACTTCTTCAGCTTTTTCCAGTGCTGCTTTTAGCAGCAAAAAGCATTTTTCATTTCAGAAGGCAATCCAGCTCACACCATCTATAAATTAAATACATTATATGGTTATTTCCCAAAAGTATTAAAGAAACTTGAGCAACAGACTTGCATCTGCAAAAATTCCTTTTGCAGGCAGTTAAGAACAACATGAACATTTGTTTTGATCACTTCCTGGTAGTCGCTCTTGGTAATCCAGGGACATCCACGAGAATCATGTCTGAGAGTATCAGCACATTAGTTAGCTCTCCTGTGCCTGTCTTTTGCCAGCTTAGTAAATAAAATCAGTATGGAAATGTGACAAGGACCTGTGCTTACTGCACTGCTTTCCAGACAGAGTTGAGGAGCAACTTCCTTAAAAAGTGCACCAAAGCTAATTGAAAGCGACTAAGGAAAAAATTTTAGCTTCTGTCCAAGGACTGTTGGTCATCTAATGAGTACTGAGTCATTACGTATGTTACTGCATGAAAACAAACATACAACCTGTCATGTATCATTTATTACTTCCACTTATCATTTCTCTGTGTGCACTCCCTTGCCTAGTTGTGTATCTCAAAGTTGACCAGTATGCTCTAGTCTGAAGAGGAAGAAAATTAAGTGTGAGTGCAATAAAAAGTTGCTATATCAGAACTAAAATTGTGACGTTTCATGCAGCGTAGCAATATAAATGCCCAGAAATTCATATCCTTTTCCAAGTCTGCAATGTTTTCCAAAAGTTTTTCTTTAATTCGGCGCTGGATAAACCATTAGAAACCTAGGTCAACTGTGCAGAGGCAGAAAGGGGGGGGATAGAAGCACTGCCTGTCTTCTCTCCACTGCAAATGCCATCTTGCAAAATGAGAAGTGATTGGCACCTTGGCTTGTATAGTTTCTAGTAATGACATCAGTCACAATAGTGTGGTTACTTTTTTCAATAAAGAGTGGTAATATTTCAAAATTTCCAGCTGAAATACTTCCTAGTCAAATGGTTTGGTTGCCTTCAGCAATGAATTCAACTAGTTAATGAAGCAGTCCACCCAGCAAAGGCTCCCTTCCTAAAAATGTTTTGCCTCAGGAAGCACTATGGCCTTACAGCTTTGACTTCTGCCATCAGGTTGCCCCATCACAGAATTTGAGAGGATATAAAACCTAGTGTGAAAATCCCTGTCAAAACAGTTCAGTGAGTTCTGTGCAAGGCTATTTGCCAGGGCGTTCAGCCCTAAGATGGGACATGTTTCATGCTTTCTGCAGTACTAATTTCAGCAGGTTATCTGAAAAAGGAAAGACATGAAAAAAACCCAGAGAAAAGAGATGCTTAGAACAAAACCTTGATATCAGCAATGCTTTTTTTCTTATTTCCACACTTCAAAGCCTAAAATGCACTGGATCATTATTACTCTGGAATGTGCAAGGAGGCAAAACACACTATTTGAACATGACAATATTTGAAGGTGCTGGAAGCAGGGGAAGTGTAGTGATCCTGACCAGGAGAGCACTGTACATACAGGAGACAGTGATCTACAGTACAGTTAACTGGAGCAGGGCCAGGTCTGTCCTGTGCTGTCTTCAGGCCTGTGTCAAGATGCACAAAACCCTTGGAAGTAGGATAAACTCTGCTGGCTCCTGGACACAGAGGAGCTTGAAGGCAGCTCCTGTGTAGTGCAGGCGGTTACACCATCTGCGTGGCCTTGCCTTTATCTAGAAGCACAGTGAGGAGTGAACCTTTCCTGTGAACATCCTTTATGAATAGCTGTTTTCTTGTAAGGAAACTAAAATAGCTCGACCAAAGAACTTCTCTCCACAGATGCAATCTGTGTAGCCTGCCATGGGAGAAGTCCATCCAGGGTCAGTCTAATGCTGCAGGAACATGCACATCATGGCATCTAAAAGCATGCAAGATTTACTCGCGATCTCTGTTGCTCTTTACTGTGTCTTTTAAAAACATTAAATTTACTAAGTGATTTGTTTTCAGGTGTTCCTTACTCAGATTCAGAGAAAAAACCTGCACTGACTGGCTGAAAGGTGAAACTCTGAACTATAAACTTT